TATGGTATTGTCTGTCTTTTTTTATGATTTAATTGCTGCATATATATCGTCTGTCTTTTTTAAAAATAAAATAAGAATTATCAAAGTGTCTGCATTTTTCATTATACATGTACTAAATTAAATAACCCAATTCGGAGTGCTTCAAATGAAAGTCCCTTTTGGCAACAACCGCTTTCTAAACTCTTTTAGTAATTTTCATTTGCTATTCTCTATTTTAGAATCGTTCAGATTGACAGAGAGACTAATCAGTATTTCATATATCACAATTGTTCACCAACCATTTAAATATATCCGAAACATGTATATGTCATACGATAAAAGAATAATTCCATATTTTTCACGATTTACAACTTTTAGGAATTTTGGGTCCTCAATGCTTTTCAACTTCGTACTTTATTTGGCCTTTTTATCTTTTTTATTCGAGCGTCACTGATGAGTTTTTTGCAGATGAAACGTGCGTTTGGCGTATACAATTCTAATCCTGGTATCTATGCTGAGTTTGATTATATATGATTGATTGTTGGTTGCTTAACGTCCAGTGGTAAATATTTCATGCATGTTCAGGATGAGAAATAAATATAATAGGTAGTTCCCGTAATAGAGGCCGTCCGGGTTGAAGGTCGGGGAAATTTTGACTGCCACTAGAAAAATGAGGGTATATTGGATAGGGGCAGAAATTTTGCCTTGCAATAGGCCAACTACGGACCCTCAAAGAGTTGTTGTAAGATTTCTTAACGTGCAGAGAGCGTGGCACTCTCTCTACACAAGGCATCGGATTTCACATTCCCATTCTGACCGGACGTGGCTGCGTACTTGTACATCCCACACAGCTAAACGGACGACCCACTTTAGCAAGGGTATTACTGCCGGTCGGAAAAAGACCTGTAGTGAACATATTTCTATTCCCCAGTCATCCTTTGGGATAACAAAAGTAAGAACTCAAAACTATGTCATGGGTAAAACAAATTCTCGTAAAAACGGTTCTCCCTCATGTTTTTTTTTTTTTTTTTTTGCTGGAACAATTTACCCTATGTTCATCCTTTTTCTTTATGATTTTGTCATGTGATTATAGATAGCTATCAGTAGCATCTGACTAGAACAAGCTTTTAGACTGGTTCCCTGTCCTTTATCTGTTTGGCTCTGACAGACGTAAAACAACAAGGGTGTCTCAGATACCCGTATGTTGCAAGGGAGAGAACTAGCCTAAACTAGCTTTATCCTATCCAAGATGTTTTCATAAAATCATTGTTCGTCTTATGCATTACTGCAATTTATTCCATTACGCGATTGTGAAAGATTTAAAAGAAATAATTTAGAGACTATAATGTTCATAAACACAATATAGGAATTTAATGAAATGTTTTGTATGACGAAAGTTCACAAACTTTCCTATTGCATTATGGGAAGCAAAACAATTGCCCATAGTACACGATCTACCTCTTTTGTATCCCTAATAATTTGTTTTATAATCGTGATTACCTAGATTTATTAAATTCAATAACAATAGCCAAATGATGAAATCCCTCTTCATTAAATTCACCGCAGCTTCTTATTGCGTTACACGGTAATGAAAACAAAACATCGTATAAAACAATAAAACATTTGTGTACATGATCAAAGCTTAACGTTTAAAGGGAAGCTTATTTTATTATGATGAAAGTTCAGAAATCAAAGTTTCTTTGAAATTGTCTAACGCCAGAGAAAAACTGATATTTCTTGAATTATTACCCAAAAGTGTTGCGGTCTTAAAACCTTTATTTGAATGCAGTGTGTTTTTATTTCATTTGATAGATCAGTAACGTTCCGAACGTCAACTGTTCCATTCACAAATGTTCCTATTACCTTATAGTTTATGCAGTCGTTTGTTTTATTCACCTCGGAACTAATTTCTAATACTGCGTTGTAAAATTTGTCTTTCGGAAATCTATCTATCCCGGATTTTACAACGATTCTTTGAATAGCTTGAGGTTTGATAAATATAACTCTAAAATAATCGTTTTTCTTCGGACTAGATTCGGACCAAAAATAACCAAACCCGGCATTGTAAGCATCGCCAGGTGAATATCCTGAATGGACTTTTAAATTTGTCAAAAGTTTTGCAGGTGGATTATCTCCTTTTAATTTCTTTCGAAAATTTCCCATAAAGAATCGGTCTTCCGCTAACATTATTTTACCGTGTAGTGACGAAGTTCTCCCTATATGCTGAAAAAGAGTTGGTTTTCTTATGATACGACTGAACTGAAGCATTTGAGGATTAAAGTTTAAAAAAGTAACATCTGCAGGCTGTTCTTCGTAAAATAAAGCTACCATTTTGGCCAGTGCCTCCAAGTCGTGTGTACGATATAATTTTGCTATCATCCCAAGCTCTGAGAACTCTAAACACGTCCATCTATTTTTCTGGTCATTGATGAAATTTCTCATAACTTTAATGTAGCCTTCGACAGTAGTAACATCATCCTCTAGATGTAAATAATACTTTGAAAGCTGCATTTTGAACACATATAGCCACAAAAGAACAAAGTCTATGTTCTGCTTGGATTTCCATTTCACCTTTGATTCCGAATGACCTATATAATGATGAGTGAGATTTTCTAATTTCGGATACATCCAATCAAAGCTCCCAATTATACGGATGGTACCAGTTCGTACTTCCAGAGGATATTTAATTTGAATTGTAGAAGATATATTTTTTCTCCATTCTTGATCAAAATCAGACAGTAAAATGATGATATAGATATCTAACAATTCATGACTATTGGCATTTGTTATGAGAGAGCTCAACGTATCATACAGATAAACGGTGTTGTTTGGTCGCTTTGCTGTCACCAGACCTATAGTCAAATATCCTACAAAAGATAAACAGGACGTACATTTTTCTACATTCTTTACAGACATTTCAAAGCACTTCTGACGCACAAATTGTATTTTGTTTTTTTACAATTTTCTAGCACAAGGTTAATATCTCTATTGGTAGACGACTATAACTGTAAACTAACTTATTGTCGCGGATACTTTATTTCGCGGTAAGCCCTTTCTTGTTCTTTTCGCGGCAATTTAGTTTCGTGATTTTCGAATTAAATAAGGAAAGATCCAAATTTTACATATTCGCGACGATTTATATTTGCGTTATTTTTCTATTCGCGAAAGTCGCGAATATAAATCGCTCTCCAAAACTAGTTGGTTTACAGTATGTTAGTTTATCGTCAGTTTAGTAGTCAACGTTTCGGCACTTACATGATATATAACATACATGTGTTAAATTCGTCGATGATAAATTAAGAAAATATTAAGGAACTAAGGGTTCTGCTCCCTAAAGCAAAGTTGGCCTCTCGTGGATTTGGCTTTTCTTTTTCGGTTTCTATTGGTCATATAGCATGTATAGATACTGAAATATTCAAGTATCTACACATCATTGGCTTTCAAATTAATGAATTTGAACGTTCCTGGTTAAGAAAAATCAATGAAAGCGCTTCGGACGCACCAATTTTATAAATTATTGTTTTGATATTGAATGCCTTTCAATTTTCCTCCTTTAGGCTAAACGGAAAAATAAGGAAAATAAAACAAGTCTTCGCTGAACAGTTTCTACTCAATCACGTGCACCCGTCTTGTTAAGCATGACAAGAAACAATTTGATGATATGTCTCATACTTTGATAGTTGCGTACAGGAAAAGGCGATAAAGGTTTCGTCAAAAGGGAAAATGACGATGAACGCGCAGAGTCAAATATTTCATGCATATCTAGTCGAAAGTATATGATATCAATATGAACCTTGCTTTGTGTTAGACCGCATCTCTGAGTCCGGTTTTTATGTTTTTAATTTATTAGTCTGCAGTGAGACATAACATCCTACACTGAAACACTATTTTGACTCTGAGTTAAGGTGGTACATAACACTACAGGGAGATAACTCTTTAAAAATCAGTTGATGAACGTTTTAATCACGTTCTATTGTTAAGGAAATATTAAGCTTCTCAATGATCAAAATTAGTGTTTGTCAAACTGCTATGTATCCAATGAAATTTTTCCGATAAAGTGTGTGGTTCAAGTTTTTTTGAAATTTGTATATTTTTGTCAAAGGGTCAAAGTAAATATTTTGTTAAAATTTTATGAAAATTAAAAGAGCCAAATTAATTTCAGTCAAGGTGTTATGTACCACCTTAACCAGTGTTTGTTCTTCCTTCGAAGTATCGCAATGAAGCAGCAAAGATATTGTATAAATATTTGATGTATATATAAATAAAAAGATGTGGTATGAGTGCCAATGAGACAACTCTCCATCAAAGTCTCAATGTGTTAAAAGTAAACAATTTTAGGTCAAAGTACGGCCTTCAACACGAAGTCTTGGCTCACACCGAACAGCAAGCTATAAAGGGCCCCAAAATAACTAGTGTAAAACAATTCAAACAGGAAAACCAACGGTCTAATCTATATAAAAAACGAGAAACGAGAAACACTTATAAACCACATCAACAAACGACAACCACTGAACAACAGGCTCCTGACTTAGGACAGGTGCACACAAATGCAGCGGATTTAAATGTTTTAACAGGCGCCAACCTTCACCCTAACCTGAAACAGTAGTGTAACATTACAACATAAAAAGACACACTATAATGTTCATTATATCCCATCAAACTTCTCATACCTTTGAAAATGTCAGTCTTTCCCGTTTCATGATTTTGGCGAATTTTCAAGAACATTATTGAAATTAAATCTAAAGCACCGATAATTATCAGAACATTTTCTATATTAAATAATAAAATGTGGTATGGTTGCCAATGTGACAACTCTCCATCAGAGACCAAATGACGTAGAAGTTTTAAAATAACTATAGGTCACTCTACGGTCTAGTTTATCAATGCAAACCCATCACATGCCACCCTTAATTCTACTGACCTTTGTTAATATCGCCCTATTTCTTGATATAGTGTTGTTTTTCCATAGTACATAGTCAAATAGCATAGTACTCTTTAACACAGAAAATACATGTACTTACGTCTGTTTGTATCTACTTGTGACTTTATCAGTGAAGCCTTTTTTGTCCAGTTTGGGTATATGTCATCTAAATTAAATCTTGGATATAGGGCACGACTTGGAGTAGACTTTTGTATGTCCTATTGATATAGAAAATATAAAGAGAGAGTCGTACTGGTCCGATTACGCTACAATTTTTATCCACTAATAAAATTTTAAATTTTCAACATCTTCAGGTTGAGATATCAAAAAAATTATTAACCCTGCAATTTTTTCGTGTGCATGTCCTAAGTATAAAAAAAATCATGTTCGTTTATGGAACGCCATAGCTGTCTTCCGTTGTTCATATTTAGTATATGCTGTGATCATTTAATTATTTTCAGCGGCTTTTTCTCGATTATGAGTGCCCTTTTCATTATGTTCAGTAGTATAACAATTATGTTGAGCAGTAACATCATAATGATCAGTAGAATAATCATTATATTGTGCAGATCTGGTATTATATTCAGCACTTTAATCAATATACTTAGCAGTTTTGGCTTTATGTTCAGTAGGTAAATTATTCTATTGAGTAGATTTGTCTTTATATTCAGTACTTTTGAAAATATCTTCTGTCAACATATTTTTATATTATGTAGATTTCTCATTATGTTGACTACAGAAACCGAAATATTCAGTGGTCAAACACACTTTATAATCAGTACTGTTATCATTATGTTGAGTGAAATAAATATTATGTTCTGTAGACTGATCATTATGTTCTGTAAAATAAATATTATGTTCAGTACAAAAAACTTTATGATCAGTGGTCAAAATGTTTTATGTTCGGTTCAATAAATATTATACTAAGTGGTTAATCGATTATATTCAGTGCTTTTTTCATCATGTGGTGGTGGAACTATACATTAAAATTATCCAAGACTTCGGTAAGTAAACCCGAAATATTCCGAGTTGAAACGAAGTCGGGCAATTTTGTTGGCATATTTTTCCAAAGGGTTGTTGATGTTTTGGTTTTTAAAATGGATGAAATTCTCCAAAGAGCTGGTTTGAATAATTTGAAGCAGAATTTTGAAAGAGAAAATATAACTCCGGACATTATTTCTAAACTGTCTCAGAAAGATTTCCTTGAACTAGGTCTTAGTAGCCGTGCTAAGATGATGGAGTTGAGAATCATGTGCTGCCATTACAGTGACATTGTATTGGAACATAATGACAAATTTATCATTCCGAAGGAGACACTGGAATCTTTGTTTGAGATAAACTTTAAGATCAAAGACATAAGTGGAATGTTCAGGATGAGGGCTGGCCGGGCCTTAATTTATGTGCAAAGTTCAAGTTTTATAATAAATTTAATATGAGCAGTTAAGACTCCTGAAAGCCTCTTATTGTAAATAATATAGCATCAAGCTGATCATTACAATAAATAAAAATTTTGAAGCATTTATAATTATTATTTACCGTATTCATTATTTATTCGTTTTATTTTTCACTTAATTAGAAATTCAAAATTGAAAGTGAAACTGCTCTTGAAATGTGATCTAATGACTTCATCATTTAAGTTGATGGGAGACTTCTATTACATCTGATTAGTTCATCATAATAGCATTGAATATTTTTAATTTCAAGAAAAAAGTCTTATCATTTTGCACTGAAAAGATTTTAAATCCAATTTATTTTATTGAATGCAATAGGCACAATTTAAGACATTTTCTAAACTGTACTGTTGTAAGTTCAAACATAAATGACATTACTGAAACCCATTCATTAGTAATAGAATGTATAAAGAATTGCCTTTTTAGCATTATCTTTTCTTCAAAATGGACCACTCCCCAAGCTGCTTAGTGTTGAACAGTTAGAGGAATTGTTTGAAAGTTCCACACCCAGGCCAGTAATCCAAGACCTTAAAAATGGCTTAAATGCATTTGGTTTGTTACAGGTAAGCTCTTATAAGGCTTTTAAATCACTTTGTATTCTGGTTATGGATCATAGTTTAACATTGGACCCTATGGGAACACATTCAAAGATTTTTTCCTTTGAAAACCAATTGGAACCAAACCTATTCACAATAGTCTTTGGATGGTCCTCCTTGAAAAGGTGTCCATCAGGCCCGCATCCCCATACAAGATGGCCTCCAGGGGGAGCATAGTTTAACAATGGACCCCATGAGAACACATTCAAAGATCTTCTCTTCTGAAACTACGGAGCAAATCTTGATAGTATCTTTCACGAGCCATGGTCCAGGTGAGCGATACAGGCTTTTTGAGAACCCTCTTGTTTCTCTATTCCTATGACATTTTCACCCTTCTCAACCGATATTAGGAAAAAAAATCGATAATAAACGTGGTCGGTTTGTATATTAATAATGCATGTGAGAAACTGAGAAAATTTTGATTGCTTGTAAGCAAAAACGTGGAGTATAACAGCCGTACAATATATCTGTATTAACCGAAATCCAGTACAAAGTATAAATTATAAAATAGTTTTCTGTATGATGACTGATTAAGCCACAGCTATTGAAGGCGTCATTTCGCAGAAGATTTTTGATAGAAAATACAATCATTAACAAATCGACCAGATGATTGTCATAATTGCAGTTTTATACCTTATTTTAAATGGTTTTGACTAAGTGGTATCTTGAGAAGAAGATTTTTGTTTACCGGACATTTTGACAGGTAGATCAGTGATGTATGTCGGACCACGGCCTTATTTTGACTGATGGTATTTGGCAAACACTGTTCTCTTGTGAGATCTATACAAGATATTTTATCAAATTACCCCCCTTGCATAAATCCTGTTGTCCTTTAAAATAAGGACAAGACTCACATCTTTTGCTTTTTATTGTTTCATTTTTAATTAAAATATTGCAGATGGAATAAAGAACTATGAGTTTTAAATAATTTGGTGCTTTCTTTGAATTAAATAATTATTTTGCTAATTTTCTAAACATATGTAACCTTAATGAATCATTATTTTACAAACAAATTGTGGAATAATTCCCTTGGCCGCCTTTAGTTCAAATGACTCTATGTAAAGTTTGTGAGTAAATACCCAAATTTACACATCCATAAGATTATACCCCCACTCGTCAGATTGGTGCAATCACCTCGTTAGTCCGTCATCCAATTAAAATGTTCGTCAAAGATTTCTCAGCTGTTAATAAAAGGAATTATTTGATATTTGGTCTGAAGCTTTTTATTGGTGAGTTGTACTGTGTTTCAACTCGGAATATTTCGGTTTTACTTACCCGAAGTCTTGGATAATTTTAATGTATAGTTCCACCACCACATGATGAAAAAAGCACTGAATATAATCGATTAACCACTTAGTATAATATTTATTGAACCGAACATAAAACATTTTGACCACTGATCATAAAGGTTTTTGTACTGAACATAATATTTATTTTACAGAACATAATGATCAGTCTACAGAACATAATATTTATTTCACTCAACATAATGATAACAGTACTGATTATAAAGTGTGTTTGACCACTGAATATTTCGGTTTCTGTAGTCAACATAATGAGAAATCTACATAATATAAAAATATGTTGACAGAAGATATTTTCAAAAGTACTGAATATAAAGACAAATCTACTCAATAGAATAATTTACCTACTGAACATAAAGCCAAAACTGCTAAGTATATTGATTAAAGTGCTGAATATAATACCAGATCTGCACACTATAATGATTATTCTACTGATCATTATGATGTTACTGCTCAACATAATTGTTATACTACTGAACATAATGAAAAGGGCACTCATAATCGAGAAAAAAACGCTGAAAATAATTAAATGATCACAGCATATACTAAATATGAACAACGGAAGACAGCTATGGCGTTCCATATTCGTTATTTAGTACAGATGGCAGATCTTTGATTGTTATTGTTAAACGAATTTGATAATCACTACTAAGTATTTAGAGTTTGAAATAATGTATAAACACATGTCTATTGTTGAAGACTGCATTTTCCATTTAGATGTACTTTTAATAGAATAGAAAAACAAAGGATGTGTATGGGGTATCCATCCATGACACAAAATCAATACATGCACAGCAAAAACAAACACACAACAAGCAAAGGAACAGCGCTTTTATTGCTGTTCTTCGTCTCAAAGTCAAAGTGAGGCATTCAACACGGAACAAAAAAAAACTCTCACCTCACTGCAAGTTTAAGACGGCACCTGGTTGTTTTTGTCTTTTACTTGCTGTCTCATTGAATTATAATCTATATATTAGCTCTGCATATGTTTAAGGATGTTCGCTACTCTTGTTTTTGACTTTTTTTTCAGAAATTCGGAATCCTCTAGTTTTATCCATGTGGTGCCAATAAAAATTTTGCCCACTGATCCCTACTTTTCTTTTCATAATTTTGTTGCATATAGTTTTAAAAGTCATTTTTGAAAAATTTATAAAATCCTTGTTATTTTTTCATTGTTTTTGAAAGGAAAAAGGTGTCAATGTTAAACATATGAAAAATCTAGAGAAAACCATTTGCCGCCAAATTTTCAATTGATTATATCTCAAAAACTAGAACACGGACCTACCGTTTCTTTCTAATTTTTAAGTTCCCTTATTCATATTCTTTCAATCTATAACAGTCTTTTAAAAATCTTGTTATTTTGAAACAGAGGAGCGAACATCCTTAAGTGATCACAATGGTATCTACAAAATTAAGTATCAAGGGCGTTTAAATATTATAGAAAATAAACAAACGCAGACAGAACGTATTTCTCCGATATGATTTTAATCTTTTGAAATCTTTTCTGAGTCCCATGATAGGAAATGACAATTGTCCTGATTCCAAAAAACAAAGAAAATTGGCAGTTTATAATAACGTCTTTTAGAAAAGACAACAGGTTTTAAGCGCATGTCGCATAATCATTATTATATAATTTTATCTAGGACAAATCAAATCAGAATAGATTACCAGTGGCCAGAATGTGATTACGGGATGGTATATTTTTACTCCAAACGGCATTGGATGATATATGTGATACACTTTAAACATCTTTCTAACAGCTAAATAAAACAACGACTAACTGATTGAATCACTTCAGTCAACAACGTTATGGAATATACTTATAGGCATAGGTGCTTGAGGACAGGATCCTGTTATGAGCCCCCCATAGTCCCTCCCCCTTATTATCATAAATCTGAGATTTAATTATGATAACAAGGGGGAGGGACTATGGGGGGCTCATAACAGGATCCTGTCCTCAAGCACCTATGCTTATAGGCCAAGTTTAGTTCTTTCCTTTTTATTAGGATTCCTTGATATAGAATTCTATCACAAATATTGCCAAAAATATTTTACACCGGAATTCAACAAAAAAACGGTTTTCTTTAACGCGGTATAAAACTGTTAACTTTGACAAGTGTGTTTTCCATAGTGATTTAAGTTGTTATAGCTGAGCATGGCTTATGTTTACCTGCCAGTACAGTAAGAGTTAACAAGAAAAGAAACACACGGAAACCATTGCATATTACTTTAAAAATTATGTAGCAATTTGAAAATGACATGGTATGTTTTGTTTGTAGTGATTTGCTTTTTTTTCCTGGTTAAGAGCTCGGTTTTGTTGAACATGCAGGTCGTTTACCAGTGCAGATGCGGATTTAAGGGGGAGGGTGATCGTCCCCCCCCCCCCCCTTTTGGTTGGAAAAATTTGGTTAATTAGAAATCACTGAAGCGTGACGAAGCGGGCCCCCTCTTATGGCAGTCATTGGCCCCCTTATGAAAATTTCTGGATCCGCCACTGCAATGTGAGGTTAAACATGAGCTGTGTCGGATAGAAATCGACCTCATGCAAGTGCACGTATACATGTACATGTATAAGATTTTTGTTGATTTTGGAACATTCAAATACGAAATAAAAGATGAATTTTGGTCTGCGTTGTAGGGTTCTTATAACAACTCAATTTTTTAAACAGTTAGACTTTCCGTAGAGATTTTTTCAACCCGAAATAGGTTAACAGATGTATTGATATCAACTTGCATAAGGTCGATTTCTATCCGACGCAGCTCACAATATATTAGTCAGTTATACAAAAATACCAGGCTTATAATGTAGTACGCCAAACGCGCGTTTCTTCTTAACATGAATCATCTGTGGCACTCGAATCAAACCAGTTGAAAGGTCAATTCAATTAAGGTGGTACCAAACACCTTGACTAAAATTAGTTTGGCTCGTTTAATTTTTCATAAAATTTGGAAAAAAGCATTTACTTTGACCCTTTGACAAAAATATACAAATTTCAAAAAACTTGAACCACACACTTTATCGGAAAAATTTCATTGCATATATAGCAGTTCGACAAACACTAATTTTTATCATTGAGAAGCTTAATATTTCCTTAACAATAGAATGTGATTAAAACGTTCAGCTGATATTTACAGAGTTATCTCCCTGTAGTGTTATGTACCACCTTAAGAAGTTGAAGAGCATGGAAAACTGGCAAAGGCTTTTAATACTGAGATATAAAGCCTTAGAGTGCATTTTATCGACAAACATAGCAAGAAACATGGTCGGATTGCATGAACCTCAAACGGTGTGATAGATGAGTTGACAGCAGGGTAAGCATTACCTATTAAGAATATTCACCTTTGTGTCTGTTAAGGATCGGATAGAGTAGTGTTTGTTCTGGTCATTTTGGTAGTACAGAAATCTATCTGAAAAATCAACAAACAATAAATAAAGTATTGTCCTTATAGAAATTTTCAAAGTACTTAGTAATTAAAAAACAAATAAGAGTTGAAAGGAGTAGGTCCAGTAAGACCTCTTTTTGGCCCCAAAATATAGCAGTTTTACAAAATTGTTAAAATGTAAACTTTTAGCTATTTATTGGAAAGTAGAATACTTCTGCTACATAAATATGGGCTGTTTTTGACAATACATTGCACATATATCGGGTACTATCATCATTAAGTCATGCTAAATTACTGAAATCTTCAAATTTTAGCATTTTGAGTTAAATTTTAGACGATTTCCATCTTAAATGGAAGTGGCCGCATTTGTGTTCATTCTTAATATTAGAATGTAATTTGTACTTGATTATAATACATCACATATATAAAGGTTGAGAGTGAATACGGATGCGGCCACTTTCATTTTTGACAAAAACCATCTGAAAAGTGACATATTATGGCATTTTTGATAGATTTTTCATATTTAAGCTTGAATTTGAGCGTCTTTAATGACTAAATCAGTTCAAATCTTTCACATAAACTAATCGAATCGACTGAAGTAGACACTTATTATAAGTGTTTAAAAAGTGTCAAAAATCTTTCATCAGATGAATTTGAAATTTGAGGCCAAAATTGGCTCTTACCGGACCTACTCCTTTGTTTTTGTTTTGTTCACGCATTGTTGTCAATATAATGGAATTTTAAGCGACTGTCATACAAGTGAGAGGTTTAAGTAGCTATAAAACCAGGTTTAATCCACCATTTTCTACATAAAGAAATGCCTGTACCAAGTCAGGAATCTGACAGTTGTTTTCCATTCGTTTGATGTGTTTGAGTTTTTGTTTTCGCCATTTGATAAAGGACTTTCCGTTTTGAATTTTCCTTGGAGTTCGGTTATTTTACTTTTTACAGTTCAAGATTGGTTTACAAATATGAAAATGTTCAGTGAGTGTTGTTTGATGATTAGTTTTTTCTTAGTTGATTGATTTAATATTAAAGAGTAATGCAATTTTAAATCCTTGTATTGCTGAATTCATGTTGGTGCCGTCGTTTTGATATCATAAACGTTCATCGGTGGAAACCTTAAATAACTGTTAAGAAGAAAACATTTCTTGGTTGATATTTATGGAACCACTTGACAAAACCATCAACCCAAGGAACTACACTTGTATTCTTTGTACAGTATTTTAACAGATTTGCATCTCCTATACGTAGGTCTCATTGGGGTGTAAGCGTGATTCAGGATTGACCGATTTTTTGTAAGCGTGACACGTGAAAGTCAAATTTTTTTTGCATGAATAGGGAAACGAAGTCATGCGAAAAACGTGAAAATTACAAGCGGTAGTATTACAATGATAAGCGGGATATGTTAGTCATGTTCAAATATTCAGCGATTATTTATTTAACATCTATCTGCAAAGATTGGAGATTTAGGAAGTCTGTCATACAACAAAAACGAAAATTTTACCTTAAAATACATTAAGTTTATTGACACGCCAATATCCATTTGAGTTGGTTATCAGACTTTACAAAAACATAAGATTGATTTTCTGTTCGCAAGAATGTGTTTTTGGTATTATCCTCAAAAGGTTTGCTGGAGACCGGGAGATTGAGAAGACAAATACATGTACATATATTAAGTGTTTGAAAAGAAAATAAAACCTTTTGCTCTATCGATTGACAATCTTTATATAAATTAATAGTTAAAAAGACCTAAAATTAATTTTGACGCAAAAATGATTATTCATATTATGCTATTTCCTAGCAACGTGCTACTGGTTGAATAGAACTTTTTGTGATAACAATCAGGTACATTAAACCCCTGGATTTAGGAATGCACTAATATAACCGCCTAGGTAGTCTCGTGGTAGCATGTTCGTCTCGAGTGCGGGGGGTCTTAAGTTCAAACCCCGGCCGGGTCAAACCAAAGACTTGTGCACGAGCACGTTAAAACTCCTGCTCAGCGTGTCAGTCTAGTAAAAAGCAGGGTTGATATTCATCTTAGTATTACATTAACATGTTCTCGTCCTGAATATGCATATTGATTTGCCGCTGGACGTTAATCAGCCATCCATCATCATCATCACAAAAATATAGCTGGACTTTAGATAAGCTAAATATGGCAATGCATAGATTTAAATTGAATGTTAAGGACAGTTCTCAACAATGGGTTCCTTTCCACTCCTCTGGATGTTATTAAAGCGTTAATGTTAGAAGGTTTTACCTTGAATAAACTGTACTTACTTTGAATTTGAACATAAAACAAGATCACCTGAAGAACAACTATAATGGATATAATAGAAACCAAACTAATAATTGTCTTAAGAATATTCATATTGTCTTCTTCTGTTCTTCATTTCCCTAGATCTCCTGAAAAAGACAAACATGAAAATACATTAACGTCAAAAGTACTGTTTTATTATTTGGCCTTCTTAACTTTTTTTATTCGAGAGTCCCTGATGAGTCTTTTGTACACGAAACGCGCGTCTGGCGTACATACTTTCTATCCTGGTATCTATGATAAGTTTATTGAGTTAGATGTGCTCTTGTCGACTAAAATATAATTTGTTTTCTGGTGGAAGGTTGTCTCATTGGCGACCATTCCATCTTTTCAACTGATTTTTATAGTTTGTTCTGATGTTATGCTGTTACACCACTATTCAAGGTCAGAGGGTGGGTTGGCACGCCGGCAAACATATTTAACCCCGCCACATTACGTATGGTTTAGTGTTTGTCAATGTTTGCTGTTAATCGTATTTGTTTTTCGTTTATTGTTTTTTACATAAATCAGACCATTAGTTTTCTCGTTTGAATTGTTTTACATTTGTCAATTCGAGGCCAAGAGTAGCAAAAGCTGAATGAATTATTAATCAAGTTCTTTCTAGTAAGCATCATCATATTTTATCACATTCGTACTTCCAATGAAAACCACGAGGGACTTCCCTTCTGGACCACTTATATGCATTCAGGTTTTTATTTCTTTTTTTTGGTAACTGTGTGGTGTTTTGTGGACTGTTGATGTCTGTTCATCTTTTGTTTTTCTTTTTACCATGGTGTTGCCTGTATTTTCTCGACTTACAGTTTTGAATCTCTTCTTAATATCTTCTTTTTCCTATTGCCTGAAATATTAGTATGAAATGTGTTGTGTCCTTATCAGAGTTGTAACAATGGTATGTCATAGTGACATCTTTTCTAAATTTAAGAAGTTATTCCTTCATGTCATGCTCGATGCTCATTTTAACATGGGTATGCGTCGATATTTTACACCGAGCGTTAGTTTGGTTTCTATAATACCAATCATAGTTGTTCTTCAGGTGTTTTATGTTCAAATGTTGTCTGAATAACAATATATAATAAAATTCTATGTAAGCTGCTAAAATGTTTAAATTCTATTAGGACAAAAAATGAATAACGAGAATGTAAACAGCAAGTTTGTGCGCATGCGTCAAACATATGTTATCTTAATTAGAACACGGCTTTGTTTACAAAGCGAAATGAAAAACAAAGATGTCAACTCCTTCAGGCAAAGTTGACCTTGAATTGATTTGGATATTGATTCTAGCTCCTTATTTTGGTTATACAGAGTACAGCTCTTCAACTGTTTTTGATTCTTATCCTTGGCTTTCAAATATTCGGCTTTGAGCTTTCCTGATGAAGATTAACCGTAAAAAGCGCTTAGGACGCATGAAATTTATAAAGTGTTGTTTTCAGTTTATTTTTTAAATTTACGTTTTAAAAAGTTACATCGTCTTTAAAATAAAAAGACGGGCTGCTACTTTAAAAGTAGGTACTTAAATGTATTGCTGTCAAAAAGAAACAACGGTTCATTTTTATTGTTGCTTTAAACATTCATGTCATTGACAATGACATATGTTCTAATACTAATATTGTCCTTCATTTTTATGCACTTACAATATATAGAGAATACTAAATCGACAAACTCTAGAAAATTCGCCGTTTCAGAATATAATGTATTCTGGGTAATTTTTTCAAAAGTGTACACCAAAACGTTGTGATTGGCTTACACCATCCTAGACAATGTGAATTCGACCAATGACGTGACGTTATTTTCGTTTAGGATTAAGAACGATGAAATTAACCACAACCCTTTAGATTTTTATACGGCGAATTGTTCCTTGCGTCTTCGATTATAGATAGTTTTAATGATTCAAGTACTTAACTGTCTGAAATATTAATCATGGCAATGCCCTGGCTACGGTCAGTGTGTTTGCGGAGTAAATTGTATCTCTATTATATATAGATAATCTCTGAAAAATTTAACGTCTTCATACAAATGTATAAATTACTTATACATATTGACATAATTATGCAGCATTGAACATATAAGGCGTGGTTTTCAGCATTACTTTTGATAAATTTTATCCGTGATCTAGCTTAAGGGTTACAGAAAATCTAAGGGAGTTAACTCTTTAAAAATCGGCTGAACGTTTTAATTACATGCTATAGGTAGAGAGAAATTCAGCTTCTCAATGATCAAAATTAGTGTTTGTCAAACTGGTATATATCCAATGAAATTATTCCTGAAAATTGTGTGGTTCAAATTTCTTGAAATTTTTATATTTTTTGTCATCATGTCAAAGTAAATATTTTGTCAACATTTTACGAAAATTACACGAGCTACTTAGTATATCTTTTTTAGTCAAAATGTTGGGTACCCCCTTAAATGAACAGTCTATTTTATGGCTTTTATCAATCTCGGTTGAAATCTCTAGACTAAAAAGAAATACACTATAGAATTGTCATGAACAATGAACATTCTATGTTATGGTATTTATCTCTCTCGGTTGAAATCTCTCAACTAAATGGATAAACTATATAGGCAATTGTCATGAACAAAAACAGTCTGTGTTATGGTATTTATTACTGTCGGTTGAAATCACTAGACTTAAAAGAAATACACTATATAATTGTCATGAACAATGAACATTCTATCTTATGGTATTTATTACTGACGTTTGAAATCACTAGACTAAAACGAAATACAGTTATATAGTTGTTATGAACAATGAACATTTTATTTTAGTGCATTTATCACTCTCGGTTGAAATCTCTAGACTAAAACGAAATACACTGTATAGCAATTGTCATGAACAATGCACAGTCTGTGTTATGTTATTTATTACTGTCGGTTAAAATCACTAGACCAAAATGAAATACACTATAGAATTGTCATGAACAAAGAACAGTCTGTGTTATGGTATTTATCACGCTTGGTTGAAATCTTTAAATAGACTAATAAGAAATAAGATATAGTAATCATCGACTTACAAACGGTTATATCTAGTATTTGTTAAAAATATTTTTACACTTGACTTGTAAGACAAAGCTGACAATTAACAAACGTAACTTAGGCAATCGACAAACCTCGGGTGACTCCGCTTCTCTCCATCTATCGTTAGATGGAGGTACGGAATCGTCCGAGTTGTGACGAATGGTAACTTGGGATGTAAGTGACTTCGGCAGTTTGGTGAAAAACAATAATTCTAGTCAATTAATCCGAAGGCTAGGCTGAACTGTCACTAAAGTAAAGATCTATAACATAAAACAAGTTCTTATGAACTTCAAAAGAACAAACATTATTATGTTAAACGCATGTCCTATGTATATGTTAGAATAATTTAATGTCGGATGTAACACGTCTTCTAATTGGCTGAAAGTGTTTTGTCTATCAGTTCATAGACATAATTTTGTCATGTGACTGTGACGTCATCAATTTTTTTTTCATGATTAACTCCTTAAAAATGGAATTTAGAATTAAATTATAAGGAATGACTGTAATATTTTTTTTTAGATAACCCGCTACGCGAGTTATTCAGTGTGCACCACATTTTTGATGTTATTTCTTCATACACAGAAAAAATATTACAGTCATTCCTTAAATATAACAAAACGCTCTCCACCAATGAAATTGTAGGATTTGATGTGTCTTAATTGTGAGGAATAAATGTAAATCATGTTCTTAGTGTAAGACATTTTCACATAATAGTGTCCTGTGAAAAAGTGTCCGCCTGGACAGTTTTTTGACAGATTTAAAATTTTAAATAATGTCCATTGTCCATGAAATTTTGTCTCTTTAAGTGGATATAATTTTATAGCTACAGTTATAAAATAGTGTCCTCCCACAATACACCCTGCTTTATTAATTAAAATGCACGTATAATAAAACATTTTGATGACCTTTGTGTTAATTCCCTTTTTTCACAGCTTAGGATATTTTGTGTCCGGGACACATTTAGATAAGTAAATATTTTCCATGGACAGTATTTACTGTGAAATAATGTCCGGCGGGCAATTTTTCATGGGGACACTATCAAATTCTACAAAAGTAAGTGATTGTCTTATTGTTTATGACTACTACAAGTTCAAAGCATAAAATTTCAATAAATGAGTTACATTTGCCTGAGGCACATTTATCAGATGGAATGGATTACCTTTTATTACTGAAATTGATTAAAAATTGAAAATAATTAAACAAACAAAAATCAAAAGATACATTGAAGTTTACTGATGCTGTAAAAATTTATACTGTAAATATTAATAAAATTGCTATAAAATAAACATTATCAAAGCAATGCAAAAGGAAAGAAAGGAAAAAGTCCGTTAAACTAAAAACTTTTAAAATCTTAAAGCTAAAACACTTACAAATTACAACATTTCAGATTACTGGGTCCACGGTTGGTAAGAATATATATAGTATTTACATATAGGGGTTAAATCAAAGTGAACCTTTGAATTTTATTTTTTTAAGTTTATTACCTTACTTAATGAAATCGTATTTGATGTAAAGAATTAGATTCAAATATTATCTGTGGAATAAGATTTAGTTGTAACTAAAAGATAGAATTTATAGATTTGAAACTGTTAATAAACAAATAGACACTTTCTCACTCAATTTACATTCATACTCACAATTAGGAAAGCTAAAACAATTCCTATCATTTTATCGTATTTTTTGTGTCAACTAATGCCTAATACACAATTTATTAAACTTTCCCATATTATAAGTTGGTCCCTACATTACCAAGACATATCCATAAATGAAATGCCTAAAAAAGAAGTCATGCGTTAATTATAAACATTTCACTGACAATGAAACGAATTCTTGATTAAAACCAAACAAGAGATTGTTTGAGCCTTGAGCACTTTACAATATTATATATATCTTTATTCTCGTAAACCAAAGTACAATGGTATAGAGACATATACAAATAAATTAACATGCATGGTATAAAATTTAAATACAAATGTAAAGTAGATAGGGACATAAAGTGGTTACCCAGGAGATTCTAGACACAGCTTGTTTAGTTCAGACGGGTTGTTGCTATTCATTAGACCCTGAAATATTAAAA